TGCTGAACCTGCATGGATCGAGGGGACTCCAGACTTCTCCAAGCTCCTTTCCACCCATATCTCCTAACACTTCTCTGATTGAGGCAAATTACAAAGTTTGGGGCTCTAAAGCATTTAATTTTCCATGGTCTTGGGAACCATGAGGTCAACAGAAGAGCAAGAGCATCACTGGCTTCCAGTGTGGCACCTAGGACTGTAGCATGAGAGTCTGGAGGACATCAAAGATGAAATCAGATGGCAGGTAATACTTGAAAAACTAGATTTTGAAAGCTAATCACCACCAGTGAACTTCTCTTCACTCAGGGTGAACCACACCAAGAGCAGGAGCAGAGGGCAGCCTTCACCTTTGCTGGTTGGTTGAGCTCTTGCTAAGATTTTGCAGGTAAGCCAAGCAAAACTCAGGAGGTTTGGAGCATAAGACACCTAAGCAGTGAGAACTCACGTGAGGAACACCTTTAGGGTGGACCAGAAAGGGTGACCCAGCTTGTGCAGAACAGTTTCTTTCAGGATAAACAGCTCCCTCTCAGTTACCTCCCACAAACTCAGAAGTCACAAGCAAAGGATGCTCTTTCTACCCCTTCCAACAAGCAGTATTAAGGCCTGGGTAACCTGAATATGGGAATCAGATGTCCAAGCAGATGAAACTTTGGTGTGTGATTGATTTTTTAATGATCCCAAAAGATTTCTGCCAGCAGAAATCCCACCACCCAACCAGGGAGGTCTGAAACAGAAGCACCTGAGTGGCTGGGATGTGTTTCAGAGAATCACAGAATGGTCAGAGTGGGAAGGGACCTCTAGAGACCATCCAGTCCCACTCCCCTGCTAAAGCAGGATCACCCAGAGCACATCACCCAGGGCTGCATCCAGGGGCTGGAATATCTGCAGAGAAGGGGACTCCACACCCTCCCTGGGCAGCCTGTCCCAGGGCTCTGTCACCCTCCCAGGCAACAAGTTTCCCCTCCTCTTTCAGTGGCACTTCCCATGTTCCAGCTTGTGCCCGTTGCCCCTCGTCCTGTCCCTGGGCACTGCTGAGCAGAGTCTGGCTCCATCCTCCTGCACCCCCCTGAGATACTGCCAGGCATTAAGAAGGTCTCCCCTCAGCCTTCTCTTCTCCAGGCTGAGCAGTCCCAGCTCTCCCAGCCTTTCCTCATCAGGGAGATGCTCCAACCCCCCAGTCATCTTTGTCACCCTCCCCTGGACTCTCTCCAGCAGTTCCCTGTATCTCCTGAACTGGGGATCCCAGAACTGGTCCCAGTTCTCCAGCTGTGGCCTGACCAGGGCAGAGCAGAAGGACACAATGACCTCTCTACACCTACTGCCCACACTCTTCCTCATGCAGCCCAGGATTCCAGTGGCCCTCTTGGCCACAAGGACACATTCCTGGCTCATGGATCATGTACCATCTCCCAGGACCCCCAGATCCTTCTCCTCAGAGCAGGTCTAAGAGGAGCAACTCCACTGGGATCATCCAGCATCCCTTTCTGCAGTGGGGCAACGACCTGCTCACACTGCAAATCCCTTAAAAATATATTCAGAATGAAGAATCCAAGGTGTTAAAAATAAAACTGATCCCCTCTGATTCCTAGAGTGGTTGATGGATGGTAGGAGCCCCAGCAGCACATTTTTCTCCCTGGCAGGGTTATTTCCAGCCTCCTGCCTGACAGCAGCTGATTCAATTTGAGGAAAAGCTCTCACAGATGACTGGTTTTAACTCAGCCACTGAACCACACTATTACTTTAACTCAATTCCATTTACCACCGTTGAGGACACTGCCCAGCCCATCACATCCACCCACTGCAGGAATATTTGATGGCAGTTTTATTTTGCATTCGTGGTCTCTCAAAAAGTCTTATTTTTTTTTTTTTTTTCTCCTTGAAGTCTCTTTTCCATAGAGAAGTGGCCACTGCAGGGGGGTACAATCCTAAGGGGTCCTGGGTGGTGGAGCCCAGGGCTGCTTCCCAGAGTCACTGCCTGGGCACGTTGCCTGTGGCAGCACCAGGATCTTGACAAGCAGAATTCAATACAAACTGTCAGGGAACTGCAATAGTTTGGAAAAGCCTCTAAACTGAAGAAAGGCCCAAGCCAGGGCTGCCTCTGTAGCTTTTGCTCTGCCTCTTAAGAGGAATCATTTGGGTTGGAAAAGACCTTTCAGATCCTCCAGTCCAACCATTAACCCAGCCCTGCCCAGGCCACCACTGCCCCGTGTCCCTCAGCACCATCTCCAGGGCTTGGAAACCCCTCCAGGGATGGGGACTCCCCCCCTGCCCTGGGCAGCCTGGGCCAGGCCCTGACAACCCTTGCCAGGGAGAAATTGTTCCCCAGATCCAACCTCAACCTCCCCTGGCACAACTTGAGGCCGTTCCCTCTTGTCCTGTCGCTTGTTCCTGGGGAGCAGAGCCCGACCCCCCTGGCTCCAACCTCCTCTCAGCAGCTGCAGAGCCAGCAGGTCTCCCCTCAGCCTCCTTTGCTCCAGGCTGGACACCCCCAGCTCCCTCAGCTGCTCCTCAGACTTGTGCTCCATCCTCAGTCATGGCATCACACCAGCTTTTCCGCTCCCCCCCCCAACCCTCACATCCCTCAGCCTCTGCTCTCAGGCCACAAAAGCAGCTTTCCTCCCAGCTGCACAGGAACAAGCTGAGGGCTCTGACTTCTTCCCCCTCACCAAATCAATCTCCAAACTGTGGGGGGAATAAAACCCAACCCTGTCTTGATAGGAAATGGCATTGATTTCCAGAGCTGCAGGATGGTGCACAGGGAGGTTTCTGCACCAGAGCAGTTGGGTTGAGGAGCAGCAGTTTTCACCTCTATCATTTCCTTGCTAATTTAGTGCTTATGTTGTGTTACACGCTGGAAGGCTGGGGGTTTTTTTTGTTGTTCTCAGTGCAAAAATGACCTGTCAGTTTCCTGGACAATGAGAAATTATGAAAAGCATTTTGCTTTTTAAGCAGCATCCACGGAGAACTGGAATTGAAATGTCGAGGTGGCTTTTTGCTTGAGCCTTGAGCTGCAGAACAAAAAGAGCTGTTTGGGGAGGGGGGGAAGGGATGGGAGGGGGTGACAAAAATGATCAGAGGATTGATTTTAATTTTTTTAGGGAAAAAAAGTGGGTAAAGATTAGGATAGCACTTCAGAAGGGAGCTGGGGGGGGGGGGAGTGAACAAAAGGCTGCCTGGCACAAAGAGGATCGAGCAGGGCTTTCACATCATGAAAACCCAAAGCAACAGACAATTATGTGCATTGCTTAAAAAAAACAACACCTAAATCATAAAAAAAAACAGGATTTCAAGCCTTCATTCCCCTGCAGAACTGCTTGCTGCAAAGCATTGCAGAGGGAAAATGTAGCAGGAATCAAAGCATGGGGGAGGTTAAGCATCTTTAATGAAAGAGAGGACACCCACAGCCAGGACAAAGTAGGGGAAAATCAAAGTCTTCATGTTTTTGTGCTTCTAAAAGCCACTAACAAGGTTTGGGGCAGATTATTCCACACAGAACAATCAGGAGGAAACTTCTGAAGGCTGTTTGCAGGGAGGAGAGAGCAGGGTGGGTGGACAACCCAGCCCTGGTTGAGTCTGAGGGCTCCTTTGTGTGGGGTGGAGGACACGGGCTGGAGATGCTGCTGCAGGAATGAAGGGGTTCCCAAGGGCTCACTGCTGTGAACCCCAATTTCCAGGGTTATCCCTGTGTTTCCTTGTTCTAAGCCTTCTAGACTCTTTCTTTGCTGCCTGAGGTTAGGGCATCCACTTCTTTCTTGTCCTTGTTGTGGGTACAAGCAAATTCTTTGCTCCAGAGAAGGAGGCTTGTCCTCCAGGCCACTCCAGGACCTACACTGGGTCCCATTTCTCAGTCTATTCCTCAAAATTCTAGTCAAATAAAGCAATCCCATAAACCATCCTAGTGGTCTCCTTCTCTTGACTATCAGAATTACCTGAGAAAGCAGCTACAACCCCCTCTTGGGTGCCTGCTCCTCACAAACATGAAGAACATCTCAGGCAGGATTCATCTCAAGCTCTCCTGGTAGGACACGAGGACTCTGTCCTCTCTGGGGAGGTCTTTCTTTCTCTCCACTGAGAGAGGAGAGGGACCTGAGCTGGAAAGGTTTGAGACCTAAGGTCTATACATCTAAAGGAATGGACTGCCCAGGGCAGGGGGGGAGTCCCCATCCCTGGAGGGGTTTCCAAGCCCTGGAGATGGTGCTGAGGGACACAGGGCAGGGGTGGCCTGGGCAGGGCTGGGTTAATGGCTGGATTTGGTGACCTTAAAGGTCTCTTCCACCCTGAATGATCCTGTGATTCTATGAAAGGGAACCAGATCTTCCTCAAATGTGCCCATTGCTGCAGCTATTTAAAATGCCTGAACATTTCCTACTGGTTTGGGTCTTTTTCCTTCTTTTTCATTTGGAAAATCAAACTGAGCTGAAAGAAAAATCTTTCCAGGGGATTTCATCAATATTTTGTGATGAAAAGTGTTTGGTTTGGACAGCAAAGCAGCACTTCTGAGAGCTGTTTTCTAACAGGAGCTCCAGCCTCCCCAGGATGGTCTCAGAGATGCACAAGAAGGAATCCAGACCTCCCTCCAACATATTCCCCATCCTGCAGTGATTTGGTTCTCCCTCTCACTTGGGTGTCCCCTTGGCCATCTTCCCATGCACTGGTGGAGCTGCTGCCTGCACAGGAGGTGGCTGAGGACATGAGACATTTTATAACATCCAGGCCACTGTGAATGTTGCAGGGTTTACATCCCTGGCTGAGCAGGGAGGACGTTGCCAGCCCCTGGCAGGACAAGCTCCTCATAAATTTGAGGGTTGGTGGTTGGGGTTTTTTTTTGATGGTGTGGAGCTTGTTTCACTTGATTCTTTCAGCATTATATCCTCCAGGGGAATTTGAGGGTGGACAGCACACACATTTAGGGGAAAAGAATTGTTTCATATGACACGTTGAGGTTTTCAGTGGGAAGAAATGCAGCTCCAAGGCCCTCCAAGAAGCACATACAAAACCAAACCAAGCACAACAGATCCCTTCCCAAGCCATCCGTGGTCAATGGCTTTATTTAATGACCTTGCAAAATAACAGGGAATTTCAACTGTGATGTGGAGAAGACAGCACCAAAAAGATGTTGGCAATAA